CCCAGTGAGAGTGAGGCCCTGGCACGTGGGATGACACAGCCTGACGCCAGGTGTCAGGACAGCACATGGCGAGGCCATGCAGAGAGAGCTGCGCCTGTTAGACCTGGGGCCACAGTCACCCGWGTGYGGGGTGAGACCCAGCCAAGTAGCACTTATCCAGCTCCTGCTGGAAGTGCTGACGAGGCCAAGCTGAGTACCAAGGGGAACTTTGCTCTCAAAGGCGGCAGCGCCTCTGGGGCGGGTGACAGGGGAGGCTGTGCCCCAGCCAGGGCCTGGGGAAGAGATTCCAGAGAAGTCCAGGCACTGGCTGTGAGTCTGACGTCCATGGCAAAGGGGAGACATGGTTTCTGACCTCTGGATCTTCAGGGTCAGATGGTGTCCCTCCCAGGTGCACAGTCACTAGGAGTCCGTGGGGTCTGCTGACCTGGATTTCATGTAGGACAGCATACCCTCTATTTACCTGCCACACCTGTCAACCAGCAGGCCAACCACCAAAGACCCCAACAAGCCGCCCAGAGGAAACATGGACACAGTGCAGGACCACAGGAGCAGCAGGGCCTTCTCATCCATGAATGTTCCATGTCGCTCAAAGTAGGTTTCATTATAAAACGACTTGAAGACCTGAAAAACACGACCCGCCCGCAGCCCAATAGGCAACTCAAGAGGAAGAACGCCCTGAGCATTCTCAGCTGCCCCTTGTCATGGCAAAGAGGGAGGTGTCTGCCAAGTCTGCAGGTCACTCAGTGATTGATTCTCTGCTGGTGAGAAGAAAATGATCTTCTGTACGATGGATTGAAATGAGAAACCAGATTGCATGCAATAGGGTTAAAATTCACTAGAAACAACCCATTTTTCAGAGCCTTACTCTGCCAGAGACAACATAGAAAATATGCCAACTAATTATGTGGCTTTGGGCAAATGGGATAACCAGCTTAARCTCTCATCTCTTCAGTGACAGGAAGAATTTAATTGCAATAAAGTGACTCAGAAAAGGTGACCCAGGGCCAGGGGTGCAGTACTCGCTTAGCACTCGAAAGGCCCTGGGTTCAATCCCCAGGGCTGCAGAACAGAAAAAGAAAGAAAAAATGTTCCATCGATGGTAATATCCATAAGTAAACCAATCTCTCTCTATATATATGTAATATCTACATGTAAGTAATTCCTAAACACACACACACACTCACACACACATATAGGTACCGCAGAACCACCTACAGAGCAGCAGCTATGTTTATGACCTTGATTTTTCAAAATTCATGCTGGGAATGGAACCCAGGGCCTCCCCCGTGCTGGGTAAGCTCTCTACACTGAGCCCCACCCCCAGTCTGATTTTTTTTTCTTGTTGGTCCAGGGGATTGAACCCAGGGCTCTACCCTGGCCACCGCCCCCCGCCAGTCACTTCTATGTTACTTTGAGAACAGGGTCTTGTTAAGGTCCTCAGGTGGCCTCAAACTTGTGATCCTCCTACTTCAGACCCCCTAGGAGCTAAGACTACCGTACATGCTACTGTATCCAGCTTTTAATGACATCGATTAAAAAAAAACACACACAAACAAACCCCAAACCCTGCAGAACTCACGTACTGGGCGAACAGTAAGTCTACCTGCTCTCCCTCCTGAGGTGCTGGACCCTGTCCCCTCTACTCCTTCGGGGGTGTCTTTTCTGCAACAGTCCCCATCTGTCCTGCATGCCTGGTCTCCCCTCTCCACAATATGCCCCATCAGTATACAAATGTGACTCCTGCCCTGCCAAAACCTGGCTGTCACCTGCCACCCAGCTTCCTCTCTGCCTCTCCCTCCCGTCCAGCAAAACCCCTTCAAAAGTGCTGTTCTCACCGCCTGCGCCTCACCCCACTGTTGCCTCCTGAGCCCATACCACCCAGGTTTTTGTGCCAGGCTCTCATCCCTGCTGCTCTCCGGCCACACTGAGTGCATCCGTGCCCTCCACAAGGTCAAAGTCCAGGGCCAGTTCTCGTCCTCATCAGAACGACCCTCTGCCTTGCCCAGCTGTAGGGACACTGTGCCTACAGCACACAGGACGAGGACCCTTCTCTCCTTTTCTTGTGCTTCTCCTGGCTCCAATCTCAGTCTCTAAATGCCGGAGTTCAGTTCTTGACCCGTTACCTTTGCCATCTACAGGTGGCCTTCCCGGGGTGAGGGCAGTGGAGCTGAGACCCAAGGAGACCAGGGAGATAATCCAGGTCCCCCGGATCCTAGTGTGCCAAGAAGGATGACAGTCCTGGGAGGAACTGTCACACAGTCACAGATGGCCGCTGTCTCCCACCTCCCGCCCGTGGGCCTGCTCACCCGGCCACCCCTCTCCCGCCTGGTGCCCACCTGGTGCCCACCTGGTGGGGCGTGTTGACCACGGCGATGTTGTAGCCGTACTGGAAGGCGGAGCCGAAGGCTGCACTCAGMGTGGCCAGCACCAGCGTGGGCGGCAGCCGCTGTGGGGGACGAGGCCCAAGGTCAGGGACTGTGGGTTGTTCCTTGGGACCACCAGGCCTCTGCGGGGTGGGCATGAGGGGGGTGTGGCCTCTACTTCCCTCCGCCTGGACCAGAGGTGGGGTTAGGGGGTGCGGGCCATGCCTAGGAAGTGGGAGGAGGTGGCTGGTGGGGGAGGGGGTCCCGGCTGGGGCTCCTCAGAGATCTGAGGCCTCTTCCCTTGCTCCCCGCAGGCATTCGCCTCCTCCCTGAAGACAGAGCTCGGCACCTCCTGGCTCGCCCTGGGCCAGCCCAGGGATGGCGTATGGAGCCGGGGAGCTGCCRGGAGGCCCTGCTCCGGAAGCTCCCTTTCTAAGGAGGTGAGGAAAGAAGAACAGAAAAGAGAAGGTGACAATGGTGAATTCCCAACAGTGACAGGCTGTGAGGATCACAGAGCAGGGGATGGGGTGGAGGCCATGGGCTGGGGCCCTGTTCAGCAGGTGGCCAGGGATGGCCTCTGTGAGAGGTGCCTGCTGAGCGGAGAGCTGGGTCGATCCGGGGTCAGCGGCAGGACTAGCCTTCCAGACGAAGGAGCCTGGGCGGGCCCTGGGGCCACCTGCTCTGTTTTGGCTCCAGAACAGGCCCTCAGGACATCGGGGCCTCTCTGGAGCCTGTGGCACAGTTTCCAGGGCGCTGTCACCTCCAGGGTAGCTGGGGGTGTGGGCAGGCGCATGGCCTGAGGGTCAAAGTCCAAGGAGTGGGCAGGGGAACTGAGGCCAGGTCTGTGACTGTCTCTCAGAGCTCCAAGAAACCCGGGTCCTGGACCAACTGTCCACTCCACCGCGTGTGCACCTCCCCGCTCTAGTGCCACCAGCTGCCTGACTGCCCACAACCCTGAGTCCAGTACCAGGCAGGAGGAGAGGGGCCGATCCGGGCATTCTTCAGAGGCCACCTCCCTGAGGATGGGAGCAGGACTGGCGTGTGAGGAGGGGGCATGTCCAGCCCCGTCCAGTCCTCCTGAACCTCGGGAGCTGGACTCATCCCACCGTGCTTGTGTCTGAGCAGGGGGCCTCGGGGGGCCGCCTCCCTGCACTGTCTCTTTGGGCAGGCAACCCCTGGCCCTCCCTGCTAGAAGTATTTCCAGGGTCTTCACCTCCCTCCAAGATCCCCACCCTTTTTGGGAAAGGGACAAGGACAGTGCATGGACACTTACCCCCTCCCTGGGTGGGGTGGGCGGAGGGGTCCTCGTCCCTGACCCCGTGCTCTCCATGCTTGTTTAGGTTGGAGGACAGGTGTGCTGCCTCCCAGGTGACACCCGAGCCCTGCTCTCCACTGGAGCCTGACCAGTCTGCTGTGTCACCTGTCCTCTGGGTCGGCCTGGCTTTATGACTCTTTTGTCCTCTGAACCCTGGTGACTTTCCCCTGGAGTCTTTTCTGCTTGGAGGGTTGATAAAATGTGTGTGGATGTAGCCAGTGGCGCGCAGCAGCGGGAATTCAGTCTTTGCATCCGCTGAGCCCCAACCAGAAGCTCCCTAGTGGCCCAAAGGAGGACAATGTTATCTCTAGAAATGAGGAGTTTCAGAAACCAAGTCAGGCCGTGGCTGCACCTCGGGGGCTCCTCCTGTGTGGTTTCTCTACAGAGGCTTCTTCCGATGCATTGGGGYGAATTCTGCGTTTTGTGGGTAAAACCACCCCTAGGGCAACTTTACCTGGGTGCAGAGTCACACACAGGAGGCTGAGCATGGAGGAGGATTCCAAGTTCAAGGCCAGTTTGGGCAACTTAGCAAGGCCTTGTCTCAAAAAAAAAAAGGCAGGCCTACAATTCCACCTCCTAGAGAAGCTGAGCAGAATTACAAATTTAAGGCTGATCTCAGCAATTTAGTAAGACACTGTCTCAAAAAATAAAAGAAAGTTGGTGAGGGGCTGGGAGTGTAGTTTAGTGATAGAGTGCCCTGGGGTTCCATCCCTAGTACCAAAAAAAGGTGGGGAGTACAAGGGATATAACTCAGTGGTAGAAAGTACCAAGTTCAATCCCTAGAACCACACACACACACACACACCACACACACACAAAAAACACACACACATATTATATTTGACTTATTTAATACTTGTGTTAGTTTTCCATTACTACAACAAAATACTTGAAATAATCATCTTAAAAAGAGGAAAGRTTTATTTTGATTCAGAGCTTTGGAGATTTCAGTCCATGGTTGGTTGGCCCTGTTGCTTTTGAGCCTGTGTCGAGGCAGCACATCATGGTGGGATCACATGGTAGAGGAAGCCCATTCATCTTATCCAGGAAACTTAAGAAAAGTAAGATACCTTCCCAGTGTGGTGGCACAYGCCTGTAATCCCAGCAGCTTGGGAGGCTGAGGCAGGAGGACTGTGGGTTCAAATCCAGCCTCAGCAAAAKCGAGGTGCTAAGCAACTCAGTGAGACCCTGTCTCTAAGTAAAATACAAAATAGGGCTGGGGTGTGGCTCAGTGCCCCTGAGTTCAATCCCCAGTACCCCCCCCCCAAAAAAAAGAAAAGAAATGTAAGATACCTGGGTCCCACCATCCCTTTGTGCCCCCAGCCACCCAACACCTCCTGTGTGCAAAGAACAGTGCCGTCAGGCAGGTGTCTGGGCTTCCTGTTCAAGAGCCCACTCAGCACACCTTGAAGCACTGCCGGCCTTCATGTACTGGCCGATGCCGYGGGGGGTCTCAGCTGACCCTGCAAGAGCAGGACGCCCGGCTGGGTTTCCCTGGACGGTCTGGTTGAGCTTCGGGAGGCCGGTTGYGTTGATCTTGCTGGTCACGCTGTCAGTGACAGTGGGCATCCCTTGGTGTCCCAGGGCTGAGCAGAATGTGGGAGGACAGGTGCAGTCTCAGCGGATGGCAGGGGGAGAAGAGGAGCTGTGCATGGAGGAGAGAAACCACCTCCMGGCCTGTGCGCAGGAGGGAGCGGGACGTGCGCTCCGCCACCTCAATCCTCACTCTTCGAGGCACSGAGGGACAGACCTTGGTGCAGATGACGGCGCAGCAGAGATGTGGAGAGGGCACACTGTCTCACTAACGCCGCATCCCACAGGCCCTTCCAGAACGGAGATAGCCCTGCCCACTGCTCCTGATGTCCCCTCCCCTTGTAAGCAGCACAGTGCACTCAGGCTGCACAAAGGAAAATCCGTCCAGCGTAAAGGGCTGGCATTTAACCTGTGACTACATCCTTCCCAGGTAGCAAAATCCCTTTCTTTTAAAGTGTCCTTTTCTCATTTTGATTGTAGATGAGCCTTCAATCTTTTCTTTCTTTTCTTTTTTTAGTGGTCCCAGGAATTAAACCCAGGGGTGCACTACCCTTGAGATGTACGCCCAGTTCTTTTTATTTTTTATTTTAAGACAAGGTCCCTCTGGCCTCCAACTGGCCATCCTCCTGCCTCAACCTCTGGAGTCCCTGGGGTGACAGGCATGCACCACTGCACCTGCAACCTGGAACAGTGCCTGGCACACAGTAGGTGCTGACAAACGGCTGGGGTGCCCCCAGAATCTACTCTCGGGCTCCAGACCGCATGGCCAGCTTCCCTTTAGACACATTCTATGAGCTGTTTCTTCTCAGCATGTCCAAAAATTGTATCATCTTCTCCCAAAACCTGCCTCCAAGACCCCAAACCATTCCCCATTGACCCCATTATAGACCTGTGGGGGCACCAGATTCCTTGCTTCTGATGGCCAAGTGGTCCCCAAATCCCACTGGTTGGCCCTCCAGGTGCCCCTTCCTTCAGCCTGACCCCGGCTGGCTTTGCTGGACCCCCACCTCTTCCCTGCCAGGCACACTGGGATAATCTTGTGATTAGTCCAGAGCCAGAGTGGCCCCGGGACTCGTGACTYGGCTTCCAGGCTCAGCTCCCCTCCGCTGGAACACCCCATCATCCGCTTCCTGCTTCGTCTTCCCCCACAGGTGACATCCTGTGTGTCCTTTCTGATTCCCCATCTCCCTTCTCTGCTCCCAGATCTCTCTCCTGGTGCATAATTCACTCACCCCTGCAGATACTCAGCTCTCTAGACATTTCCATGTGTGACTTCCTTGTCTACGTTGAGCTGCACATGAGCTCACACCAAAGCCCCCAAGTCTGACCTGTGGCCGCGGGGATTGTTCCAGACTCCCTTGCATTCTTTTCTGCCCYCGCCCCCTCCTACGGTGAGACAGTTTCCAGTACCTGCCGCCTACCACGAAGCTGTTCCACTGAAGTAGGGATGGATGGTGGTCTCTCGTGGTATTTTACTAATGGGCTAAGATTCATCCTGCTGGGTGCAGTAGTGTGTGTGTTTATAATCCCAGCCACTCAGGAGGCTAAGACAGGAGGATCACATGGTTGAGGCCAGCCTGAGCAACTTAGTGAGGCCCTGTCTCAAATAAAAACTGTGAAGGCCTGGGGTGCCCAGTGGTAGAGCACTTGTCGAGCATGCTACAGGGCCCGAGTTCAATCCCTAACATATTAAAAAAATATAATAATGCTCATTCCCATTTAGGTACTTAAAAACACCTAAGAGTAATACATGCCGTAGGTCTGAACACTGTGAACACGTGGAGTCATTTAATTCTCACGACAGCCACGTTGTTGAGGGAAACAGACCAGTCGAGAAGCAGCACTCGGGGAAGTCCACTTTATTTACGCCGGTGGCCCCAGAGGAGAACAAACTCCAAATTCTGAGCCTGATGCACAGTTTCTCACAACRTTTATAGGTTATCTGGCGTCATCTTCGGCCTATCCTATCTTTGGGGCTTTTTTCTTCTTTAAAAAAAAAAAAGAATCCTGGGCTGGGGTTGTGACTCAGTGATGGAGCGCTTGCCTCGTGGGTGTGAGGCACCACATACAAATAAGTGAATGAAACAAAGGTCCATCAACAACTAAAAAAGTATTTAAAAAAATCCTAACCTAGTGGCTGAAGGCCTTGTGCAGGGTCTCCAACATAAAGCACGCTTATAGAAGGGATGCCTCTTTTCACAGGCATCTGATACGTCTCTAGCCTTGGAAGCCTGGCACAGGGGTGTTTACCCTTCAGGAGGGTCAGACTCCGAGGCCAGTGGTTTACAGTCTGAAAGGTAAGGGCCCGTGGTTAATCAGGGCTCTTGAAGAAAGGCCGACAGAGGGGAGGGCAGCTGGCTCCTCCCAGGCATTGGTTTTCACCATAATGCTTTAGTGATTTCATTTTACAACCAGGTCTGGTTTTGCCATCATGATGAGAGACATTTATCATCAGTTCAATTTTCAGCTGAGTACAGAATAGCTAAGTGACTGGCCTGCGTTGCACAATTAGTAAGGGGCAGAGCCAAGGTCTGGGCCTGGGGAGTAGGTGTGCAGGATCAGGAACCTCCTGGGCTGCTCGAGGGTGAGTTCACAACAGTGCCACAGTCCCTCRGGCCCTGGCTTGGGCCCCACCACTCCTTGTGTGCAGGACCTCCGTCTTTGCTGGTTCTGGGCTCTGCTGCCGAAGGCCAAGGATGGTTCAACCACGACCCTGTGCCTTGTACTTCCCCTAAGTCTCGCTGTGCTTCCCTGTTGGACTCATTGCTGGTGCAATCCCCATTCCACACCCACAAAAGTTTCTCTTGGCTCCCACTGTTGTCCCCGGCAGCCCTGGCCTCTKCCACCCTTATTCCAGGAGATGTCACATCGTGCCCTAGGTCATCCATGCCTTCCTTCCCACATGGACAGTTTTCCTCTGTATTTTGTACCTACCCTCCTTACACACATGCACACACCAACACACGCACTCGCACACACCTCTTGATTATTCACGTCTCTTAAGAAAWGTCTCCAGTGCTGCCATGTTGGTGTGGGGGCACCTGCTTCTTCYTGGTTCCCCACTCCTGCAGCCCCGCCTTTAGGCCCCTTGGTATTCACCATGAACCTGGGGATCAGGTGCCTTTCCCAACCTTAAATTTAACATCTCATTTTGCTGTTCTTTCAGCAGAAGAGGTTTGCATGCCTTGTCCACTCCAGACACCACCCCCTCGAGGGCTGACATCCAGCACAGCCCAGGGAGCARGGAGCAGCCCTCCTGCTCTGATCTGCTCACGGAGAATTGGGTGCATTCTTGGTGAAAAGTTATCAGATTGGTTTTATTAACTATACAGAAGTAATTCCATTTCCCCTAGCAATATAATTTAGCATCATCAATTTGAACTCAGGTAATATATCCCCAGGGACCCTTCTCCAGCTTTCGCTAAGTCATTATTCTTGATACCACTCTTTGCAAGTCAGGAGAGGGTGGGATCAGAGGATGAATTCGGCTTTCCACAGTGCTGGTGGCCCCAGGAGGTCCGTGGGGCCCCAGAAGAGTGTTAATTTCACTGACAAAATTGGATTCCTCCCATCTGTCCCTGTAGTACCTATTTTTGTTAGAAAAGCTGTATCACCAAGAGCCCCACAGCAGCTGGCCCAGCAGGTGAGGAATGACGGTGTGCAGACACAGGGCTGGGCAGAGGTGACCCGGGGGGAGAACAGCATGGAGGCCCCTGGACTGTCCCGCTGGGCRGGGAGGTCAGCCTGAGACCTGCGTTCCACGCCAGACTCGTTCCGTTTCTGGATGTCACAGGCAAACAGAAGTCAGGGGAAAGTCCTGGGAGGAGGCTCCACGCAGACCTGCTCCGCGGGCTCCTCTTCACTGCTGCTTTGAAGTGTCCGATGGAAAGGTTTTCAGCTCCTCCTTCTCCGGGTGGATTCCCGACACCTTGTTCAAGTTGGCGAAGATCTGGTTGATCTCGATGAAGGTCTTGGACTTGGTCTCGGGGACAATGAAGAAGGTGTAGACGGTGGTGAGGAGACATATTATGGCAAAGATGATGAAGCTGTAAGCACCGAGGCCCACCTGTGGGGAGAGGCAGATGAGGCTGTACCAGGTCCTCGCTCCACTGTTGGGGTGTGGGGGTGCTGGGGCCCTCGGGTCCCACTCACTTGAATGAAGGGGAAGACCAAGCCCACAGTGAAGTTGGACAGCCAGTGGACACTGCCCCCGATCATGTAGGCAGCTGGCCTGGAGGACTGCAGGAAGATCTCAGTGATGATCAGCGCAGGGATGGGACCTGGGGGSGGGGAGCAAGCAGAGTTGTCTCCCCCGAAGGCGGAGCAGCCACAAAGGGCCCTTGAGTCCTTGGATGTGCTGGTGACCTGGGCACCTGGCTCTAGGGACAATGGGGTCTCTCCAGGACATGGGGGCTTCTGAAGTGGCAGTGTGAGGAGGCAAATGGGAGTTCACAAAGATGTCTGGCACAATGGGTGGCATCCTGCGAGAGCAGCCAGCCAGTGGCCCATGTCAGGATCCCAGGTTGGCCACCTGTATCACAGCTTGGATGTTTTTACTCAAATTATGCCCCACCCAAGCCCTGCACAAGAGGAAGAGGACAGGAGCTCTCCCTGGGCCTCCAGGGGAAGCTCAAGCCAGAAGCTCAAGTCGGCGGGGGCAGACAGGGCACTGAAACCATGAGGTCAGCTCTGGGGCACATACTGGGCCCGACGGCATGTCCTATGACATAGATGATGACGCAGGCAATGCTGACATAGGGCATCCAGGAGACGGTGTCCTGTGGGGACAAAACGGAGCTGCTTAGCACCTGGCAAAGCAAAGACCAGTGGGGATAGGGACCTGGGGGACTTTAGCCACTCTGCCCAGGTGCAGGGATGGCACTTGTTCCACAATGTCACTTCAATGAGCTTTGAAGAGTGAGCATAGAGGGGGCTGTCAGTCGCTGGTGGGGGATATGAGGTCCCCAGATGTCTGATGGGCCTACAAATTCACTCTTGTGCCTTGTCCTTACAACCTGTCCTCTCAATACGAATCAGGGCCAGTGCAGCTCAGTCCCCTTCCTTACCTGCAGTGCCAGAGCCACGGTCAGCACAACGCAGGCCATGAAGCAGGTGGAGAAGCCCAGGAGCAGCAGACGCCTCCTGCCCCAGAGCTCCACCACGAACACCTGGAGGGGGGTTTGGAGGAGGGAGGAAGTGGGCTCTGGAGGGGCCACCAGGTGCCTTCCTGGCCTGGCCGCACCCCTGCTTGGAGCTGCCGCTGTGGGAAAGCCTTGCCATCCGCATACCCTCTTCCGAGGGGCTGGGAGGGATGGGTGCCCACCCATGTGCACACTTGATAATCACGTGCCCTTGTGTGGCCAGCAGGAGGTCTGCCTGTGTCACTGGGCCCTGGCTTTCCATCCTCTAAGAAGACATTACTTCAAGGGCCTCTTAACCCTGTAGCCCTAGGCCTTAGGAACCCCCCCCCCCAACCACTGGGTGCTGGGGACCTCGATGCCATCAAGAGATTCTGCCTGCACAGAGGCCTGGCCCCACCCAGAGATGGTGGAGAGCCGTGAGCCATGGGCTTTTGCAGGGCCACCATGATGCCCAGTCAGGGGCTCTCTCTGTTCTTGCCATGTTGTGGCCCCGTACARCTCCGGGTCCCCACTGTAAGAGTTGGAGCAGAGCCACCAGAMACACTGGGAGCTTCTGGAGTGGTGGGGTTTGGGCCTCCATCTTTGGGGGTCTCCACTGGAGCCGGAGACCTCAGAGGCTGGGCGCAAGGACCCAAGGGGCGTGATGGCCCCTCAGGTCCTGGCTCCCTCCTCCGTTGGGAGGGGTGCTCTCCAGATGTCCCTGCGTCCTCGGTGGCCAAGGGGGCCTCAGCTCCCGGGGACACTCACAGTGCACAAGGTCATGAACACGTTGACGGCCCCGGTGCCGGCCGTCACGTACTGGACGTCGTTGGCCTGCACGCCGGCGCTCAGGTAGATCTGGTCCGCGTAGTAGTAGATCTGGAAGGGGACGGCGGGCGGGCCTCAGGGACCTGCGGGCAGGTGGCTTGTGCCCGGCCCCCGCCGCCCGCGCCGGCCCGGGGGCACCCACCGCGTTCACGCCGGACAGCTGCTGGCCGGCCATGAGGGTGATGATGGAGATGAGCTGCCAGCGCAGGGACTTGAGGCGGAACAGCTTCCGCACCGAGATGAAGCCCKCCGCCCGCTCCGCCTCGTCCTCCCGCCGGATCTCCTCCACCTCCTCGTCCACCTCGTCCCAGCCGCGCACCCGCCGCAGGGCTGCGGGAGGGACAGCAGAGGCGTCGGGCCACCCGGGGCAGCGGGCGCGGGGCGGCCACCTCCRCCGCCAGCCAGCGGGCCTTACCGTTCCTGGCAGCTTCTTCGTTTTTCTTCTGAATCAGCAGGTACCGGGGGCTCTCGGGSAAGAAGGGGAGCAGCAGGACCTGCAGCACGGCGGGGACCGCCGTCAGCGCCAGGAGGATGGGCCAGCCTAGGGGCGAGCGGCTTGTCAGAGGCCTGCACTGCCCCTGCCAGGCACCCTGGGGGGACACAGGCCTTCCCAAGGCAGACTCCCAGCAGACGCTCAGGGAATACTTACAGAATGGCCAAGTGACGGTGGCCACCGCACACCTACCAGGTGGGCTAAAGGGAAAGGCCTGACCGTACCAAGTGCCCGGCAGAACACAGGCGAATGGGTGTTCTCCTGTGTCACCCTGCCCACATGGCGTCCTTCAGAAGACACTTGTCAGGAGCCCGGGAAGCCGGGCACACTCGACTGACCTCGCCAGCCCACCCCAGGCAGGTGCACGGACAAGCTTGTGCCCAGGTCACAGGGATTGACTGCTGGAATGGTCAGAGCAGCATTGGTTATGGAAACAAAACCAGGAAACCCTGCAAGATCTGTAACAGTCCACGCAGAGTGGATGCGGGAGCCAGGGTGGGAATTTGATACCGCGACCAAACAAAGCCAGCCACAACGTGAACGGACACCAGGCCGAGTGACGTCTCCGCCAAGGTAATGCCCTGACGTCAAGTTCAGAAGCAGGTGAGGTTAACCCCATCGTTAGCAAAGGTGGGGAAACAGGAGGCGAGGGCCAGGATATGACTACGGGGTGGGGAGACCTGAGTGAGGGGCACAGCAGGCCTGGGGGGCTCCTGCCCTTCTCATGCAGGGGCTTGGTTTCCGTTTGATATTTGATTTGATTTCTATTTTCATTCATTTCTCCTTGATTTTTGTTTTTCCTCCTTATTGTTCATGCTGTTGCACAATAAAAATATTCACATAAGGAACTGAGCAGCTCGAGGTCTTTCTCCAAGTGGGGTATGCCCTGCTTTTCCCCTGGGCTCCAACAGGTGACCATATGGACATTCATGTGTCAGGTACTGGCCTAACTTCCTGTCCCGGGTTAACTCACTGCTTCTCTCAGTGCCCTTACCCGGGAGGTACCAGGACCAGCCCCACTGTACCCATGGCAACAGTGAGGCCTGCAGAGTGTGGGCCCCTCGGCCAGGTCACACGGTTATTTGGGAGTTAAGTTGAAGCAGGCTGGTCTTAACCACGTGGCTGACAGATTTTTCATTCAATTTAAGGCTATAACCAGCTGACAGTCAGTGATGTACCACTGGTCTCTTACAGTAGAGTCTAGCTAGGCAATGGACCAGCCACACCCACACTGAGATATGACCTTTCTCAAGTCACATTTCAACCTCAGAACCTTCTCTTTAGCCTACAACCCCGGGGTTCCTGACCAGCAACCTGACCTCCTACTTTGTCCAGAAAACTAGTGCCATAAAATGTAGTTCAAGTTCTGCCCTGACCACCTCGCTCCAGGCTGGACCATCATCCAGAATCCAGGGGCCTGGCTAGTTCTGGATGCTTTGACCATCCCCCGCTGTCAGGTTTGTGGCAAAGGCTGACTTCTTACCTCCCAGGCAGGCCACTGCTACCTGGCCTCTGAGCCCATCCCCGGGCCCCGCAAACTCCTAAGTTGCTGAAGCTCCCCAAGTACAGATCCAGATTCTGTTTGTCTACCTTGCCCTCCCTTGACTTCTTCGCAGCCTTGGACACTGGGCCTGCCCTCTTCCTGTGCATCTTCTAGCGTCTTCTCTGACTCTGTTGTCTCCTGGCCTTCCCTGTTTTTYGAGTACTTGTTATGTGCCAGGAACCATGCTGGAAATTCTAAGATGGGCAAGGCCAAGCACTGCCCTCTGTACACCCAGGCTGCAGGAGAGTCAAAGTAAGAACTGGGAGCACAACGTGCCCCTCAGGATTTGCAGTTCACCAAAGACACAAGAATTTTGTACTCCTGTCTCTTCTGCCCAGGTCTGGAACACTGTCCTACTGACCCCTAGTCCAGGCTGTCTCTGAAGCCCCTCTTCCTGGGCAGAAGCAATCCCTCCTTCCWGCGCAGGACAGAGCTCTGCACATTGCTCCAAGTCCCGCTGGTTGGGAGCAGGTTGGGGACAGGAACCTGGTGCATTCAAGTTGGGTCTCAGTTCCTAAGGAAGGTGTGGCACCTCAACATAGGTGCCCTGACTGTAGGAGTGATGGGAAGGCAGGAGGGTGTGGCGGTTAACACAGACTCCTGGCTCTATATCCCCAGGGGCCTTGGGCACGTTTTCCAGTCTCTGTTCTATGCTGTAAGATGGGTATAACCACAGCAGGTGCTTGCACGGGGCTGTCTGGAGGAAGGTACGGGGTACTCTGGAAGACTCGGCTCCTGGCCCCCAGCACTCTGTTTTGACTGTTGTGATGATTAAAGCTGGTTTTCCTTTCAGAAGTTCCAGACCCAAGACAAAGAAAGCAATACCAACTATGGGCACACTGCTGGCTGCCACTGTGGGGCCACTGGCCACCGTATGGACAGCCTCTGAGCCTCTGCTGGCCTTCCTGTTCCACCTTGCTCCTCTCCTAAGGGGAAGCTGTCACCAGCACTTGTTCAGGGGCTGCAGAGGGACAAACAGCACACCAACAATGTGGACTCAGGGTAGCAGAGGGTCCCAGGGACAGCCAGCCCACCAGAGAGAAAAGGCCAGCCTGCAGACGCTTGCTGGCCTGAGCAGGCACCTGCGGCAGGGGAGGCGTTGGGGGAGGGGCAGGGTCCCCGCTCACCTTCTTCGTTGGCGAGGATACTCCGAAGACCAAGCAGCTGGGCTACAAGGATGCCGATGGTGATGAAGAGCTGGGGCACCACCCCGAGGGCCCCCCGCAGGTTTTTAGGGGCCAGCTCCCCTAAGTACATAGGGACCACGTTGGAAGACACACCTGGGAGGAGGGTTGGAGCAAAAACGCAGTCAGGAGCAGTGGTCCAGCCGGGCGGGCCGAGTCTGCAGAGCTACTGTTACTCAGCCATCGGATGCTCGGCCGGAGCTTCCTCGGAATGGCCACAGAGAAAGCGAACACCTCTTTTCCTGCTTAGCCTCTTAAACCCTAAATCAGGCCAGAGAAGCTCCTGCCCAGGAGCACTTGCCGATTAACAGGGGTCACCTAGGGGCACAGGTTGTCCAGACCTGGGGTCTCCCCTCCCAGCTSCCCTGGGTAGACCCCTGTCCTGGAGGGACCCCTGCTCTCCAGCTTCACCTTCAGGGGTGAGTATAGATCACAGCAAAAGCCAGTGGTCGGCACACGAGAGCACCAGTCACAGTTGCCAGCAAACATCAAAACTGTCAGTCTCATTGGGGACATGTGCATTTCTGGGATTTCTGCAAGGCCTGGACTTCCGCCATCCTGGAGTGTGACCTCCTTAAGAAAGGTCGAGGGGCTGGGGCTGGGGCTCGGTGGCAGAGCGCTTGCCTAGCTGTAGGTTTGATCCTCAGCACCTCATAAAAAATAAATAAATAAAATAAAGGCATTCTGTCCATCTACAACTACCAAAAAAAAAAAAAAAAAAAAAAACCCAAAAAACAGGTAGGACTGAATTCTGTGGAGTCTGAAGTACCCCACATACAGCATCTCATTTCATCCCCCGGAAGCACATCGAGAGCTGGGGGCCTCAGGAAGCCCGGAGGGGCTGTGACAAGCCCAGGTGTCCTGGGCCAAGCTGAGGCTCAGGATCGTCCTGGGGTTACAGGGAGACTGTGTCACACAGGCAGACCCTGAGGGAACAGTTTGGGGTGAGGGGAGGGGAGAACTTCTGGCGACAGGAGTTTACTTGGTAACAYTGAATAGGAAGGCACCAAAGTCATCTTCCTTTGAAACTCTCTGCTTGATGTTTCAAAAGAGACAGTTCATGGAAACTCTTTCCTGTCATCAGAGCAGAGAGGGGCATCTTTAAAGCAGCCCTCAGCCTGCCGTGGGTGGGGGCAGCACCCCCAGGCTCAGTGCACACAGGCCTGCAAGGGAAGGCCCCAGATGCCAGCTGGGTTCTTGCCACTTAGCACCCAGTGGACCCCCGAGGCTGCTTTTTAATGGCAAGCACTTCTCAGCTTCATTAAGGTATGAAAATCCAGGAGCACACCTGTGATCCCAGTGATTCGGGAGGCCAAGGCAGGAGGATGGCAAGTTCAGGGTCAGCCTCAGCAAACTGGCAAGGCCCTAAGTGACTCAGGGAGACACTGTCTCAAATAAATTTTTAAATAAAGTTGGGGGGCCGAGTGGGTGGGCTGGGGATGTGGCTTAGTGGGAAAGAAGCCCTGGGTTCAATCCCTAGTACAAGAAAGAAAAAAAGAAAGAAAGAAAGAAAGAAAGAAAGAAAGAAGGAGGGAGGGAGGGAGGGAGGAAGGAAGGAAGGAAGGATGGACAGCCCAACCCCAGGAGACCTGTGAAGGGTCGGCACTGGGCTGGCCCCTCCAGCAGCACCGATGGCTTTCAGAAGTCTTGTGGCTTTCAAGGAGTAAACCCCTCGGAGCCAGCCTGGGGCTCTCTTGCCAAGATGGGGACAAACAGCAACCGAGTGGACAGTGAGCCCCTGCAGTCCCATCCTGGTGCCTGGGCGCCTCCCCGCCTCCCTGGACTGGACTGGGCACTTCATCTCTCMGTGGCTTCATTTTCCCGTCAGTGGGGTGTGGACGTGGCATGCAGCTGGACAGGCGTCTCGCGGGCTTTCAGGAGCCTGGTGAAAGGCCTCTTGCACCTGCTGGTGTCCCCCAGGTTGGACTGAGGACGGGGTTCCTGAGACCTCCGTGGGAGGCTGTGAGCCTGGCTTCCCCTTTCACTCCCACTCCCCTGGGAGCATAGTGTGGGGTTTCCCAGAAGCTAGCTGCCGTGCCATGTCACAACCAACTCGACACAGGCAGGCTGGGAACCCAGGGGCCTTCTCAGTAAGCCACACATTAAGAGATTTGCAAAAATGTCCAACGAGGCCACTTGTTTTTGGTATTAAAACATAAAATTGTTTCTAACTAAAATATGTAATGGGCCCATTATTTTTAAAAACGAATGATTGCACTTCTTGGTTGCAGTCTGGGTGGGGGACGTGCTGGGGTTTGAACCTGTGACCTGAGGCATGATAGATAAGCACTCTACCGAGGAGCTACATCCCCAGCCCCTTTTCTTGAAAAAGAAAAAAAATTACTTTAAGACAGAGTCTCCCAGGCTGACCTTGAATTTGTGATCCAACCGCCTTGGTCTCCCAGGTAGCTAGAGTTTACAGACACGCACCACCACGTGGCTTGGTTGCAATGTTTAATGTGGAGTCCTTTATAATTTTAAGATGCAAAGAAATTCTGAGACCCATAGTTTGTGAAGCATGGACCTGAAGTGTAATACTTAAAGAGTAAAGGTCGGGGGTTTTAATTGTGATTTACTTTCTATTGGAGCCTGTTCTATATTTCTCTCAGAGTCAATTCTGAATTGTCTGTGGTTAGAGGAGAAGAAACTGGACCTGCTCACTCCTGACAACGTTTAGGAATCCTCTATTTTATTTTATTTTAGTTGTAGATGGACACAATATCTTTATTTTATTTTTATGTGTTGCTGAGGATCGAACCCAGGGCCTCGCACGTGCTAGGCGAGCGCTCTACCGCTGAGCCTCAACCCCAGGAATCCTCTATTTTTTGAAAGCTGCACCTGGCAGGTAAAACCGCTGAGCCAGCGAGGCTCCATGGCAGGAAACCTGTCCCTGCTCCAAACGACTTCTCCATTCAGGAAGCCTGTCCCCGACCTCTTCTCCCCTGCCTGTGATTCTCTGTCATTTCCCCCCTCTGTTCTGTCACTGGGCTCCATCTGACAACCAGCCAAACCATCACTCCGTCCCTAATTCCACGTGTGAAAGAAGGAAAGCCAAGTTCACTGGCCATGCTGGGACTATGACCAGAAGGACAGATTTCAGGAGATGCCCATCCTGCACCTGTAGGACTCTGTGCCCTGGGCCCTCCCCTGGTCTGGCCCTGGGAATCGCTGCCTGTTGACAATGCTGACCTGGGGAGGCCTCTTGGCRGCAGCCTCAGTGGACAGGTCGGAGGTGGGCTTTGCCAAGCAGCACCCCAGTTGTTAGGGGAGAGGCCTCGGGTCACTCAGCGGGTGCACGTGTGGGAAAAGGTGAGAGAGCACCCAGGGAAGGCCTCTGGCCACTGCAGACTGCCCTATGGAAGTTGCAAGGCTCTCCTCCTTACCGTGTTTCTGGTAGAGGGAGTCAGGCATCAGGTGGCTTCTCAAGCCTCAAGAGCAACTCACAGCCAAACCAAGCCACACCAGACCCCCAGAAATACACTGCACCCTGCCACCCGTTCTCCCATTAATATGCAAATGAATAAGAGAAACAAACGTTTCAAGAGACGATTGTATTCTCACCACATATGACAGAATCTGACAAAAAGATAAAAACCAACACCAAAAGCAAGGCTGCCCACTAAACAGATGTCACCACCCGCTAACTGGCCCTGACCTGCCCCCAGGAAATGCTGAGACACTGAGATTAAAGGATCAGTTGGAAGGACCTTCTAGAGATCCTGAATTTCAGTCTTGCAGAGCACAGCTTCCTGGGTGGGAGAGTGCCAGCCTAGCAGGTGTGAGGCCCTGGGTTCAAACCCCATCACGGCCACACAAAACCAGAGACGGCTTCCATCGCAGAGGTCCACCCAGTGTCCGCCCTGAGCACAGCACAGAGGCTGCTCCAGGTCTGATTCACAGCGCAGGTGCAGGGTCACTTGAATCTATGTGCTCCAGAGACCCGGGGCTTGTTCAGGTCCCTGGGGACGGGTCCCTCCCTGCAGGCCCCCTGCCGCCCCCGTCCCTGACYGATGACCCTGAATAACAGAATGGCCCGTCAGTGTGGCATCCTTACCTGCACATATTCCCACTAAAAATCTGGAAATAATGATAAGCTCAAAGGCCTTGGCGATTTTACTGCAACCCATGAAGATGGCGGGCACAATGGAAAAGATGTTGTTGAACAGCAAGGTTCCTTTCCTGCAGAGGGTAAAACAGCAGCTAGGGCAGTCCAGGCTTCCAATTTGTTCACCAGAGCTCCTGGTGTTTGCCCTCAGGGGCTCCGCCAGGTGCAGCAGTGAGCCTCCCTGCTGGGCCTCAGGCTCCTGGGACCTGAGACTGACAGAGGTCAAGTACACAGCCTGATGCGGGAGCAAAGGGCAGAGGGCGTCAGTAGCGAGAATAGCTGGGAAGGGGCCCCAAAATTAAAATACAGGACATGGCTTTTGAAATCATAAGCTAATTTGTGGTTTTAATGTGACTTCCCAAACCAAACTGGGTAAGGACATTAGAAACAAATAAAAGCATAGGCCAACTTCACTGAAGTCCACGTAAATGCAAAAATCCTAAATGAAATATTCGCAGGTTCAACGGCATGGATAAAATCCTTCAAGATATTCACCATATTAAAGATGGTACTGGGGAAAATGTAGGATTATCTCCTAGAAGTGTCAAAAGAAATCAATAAAACGAAATGCCATTATGATTTTTTAAAAAAATTTTGGTGCTGGGGACGAACATGAGGATACCACCACTGAGCTACACCCCCAATACTTTTTAAAAATTTTTGAAGCAAAGTTTCCCTAAATTGCTGAGTCTGACCTTGAACCTGTGACCCTCTTGCGTCCCACAGAGCCCCACATAGCCCTTTATGATGAAAAACAAAGAACAGAAAACAAAACAACAACAGTACAAAAATAAAGCAAAAAAGCCCAACAACCAAAAACCAAAACCCCCAAACAAACAAAAACCAATCCAGCCTTAAGTAACTAGAGAGAGACTTCTTTAAGCCGATAAAGGGCGTCAACAAAAACCCACAACAAGCATCACACTTAACAAAACCTCGAAAGCATTCCCATGGGATCGAGGAGGAGGCTGAACCGCAGGTGGACTTGGGCCCTGGGGTCCTGATGAAGCAAAGGCCCCTGTGGAGGGGCCCCAGGATGGCGCCAGGAGACAGGGACCTGTCCCTCAGGAGGCTGCGCGGTGGTCCCCGCCTCCTCCTTCCCTCCCTCCCTCACACACACTTCCCCATCCCCAGCCCTTAATAGATAATTGGAAAAAAGAAAAAGAAAGAAAGAAAAAAAAAGACGCGTGTGGCAGACAGCGCAGGTCCAGACGACAGAATTCCCAGGGACGATAAACCACGTGAAGTGACGGGGGTCAAACATGAGGAATCAAGCTGGCCCTTCAGTGGAGGACACTCGCCAACTTCAGTCTCGGTGGGGTCGAGGGAGACTTCTAGGACGCCGCTGAACACCTGGACCTCCACAGCAGAGTCAGCCTAGACGTGGACACGCCCTTCAGGGACATTAACCTGAAGTGGATCGTGGACCTGCCCTAGACCTCAGGGTTCCACGCAAAACCAGAGCGTTCCTAGAAGATGGTGTGTGTGTGTGTGGGGGGGCGGGGGGACCCTGGGTTTGGCAATGACTGTTTAGCACAGGTGCTGCAAAGTGACCGCTGGCCGTGACCTTTCAGACACAACACCAAAGGCACAGCCTGGGAAAGAAGAACCGGTAACTTAACATGGAAAAATAAAAAGTTGGAAAATCTAAGGTTAGGAAAGTGATCAAAAGACCAATAGAGACAAAAAGGGAAAGTTGGGCGACAAACTGAGAGCTGACAAAATGTAATTTGATGTAAAAATATAAAGCACAAAGAGGAGACTTGTAAAGCCGTAGAAGACAGAATGGCAGCCGGGCGCAGTGGTGCACGCTGTGATCCCGGCAGGAGGATCCCAAGTGGAGGCCAGCCTCAGCAACTTAGTGAGGCCCTCAGCAACGCAGCAAGACCCTGCCGCAAAATAAAAAAATAAAAGGGCTGGGGATGCGTCTCAGTGGTGAAGCACCCCTGGGTTCAATTGTTAGTGCCAAAAACGAAAACAAAAAAACCGAAAGAACAGCAAAGCTAGAAGCAGCACATCTACAGAACCCTCAACGCAGCCTCAAGATACATGTGGCCCTGCACTGGGCTGCAGCTGGGTGGCACGTGCCTGCCTAGCATGCCTGAGGCCCCTGGTCCTATCCCCAGCACTACAAATAAACATTTATGGTTAGTATAGTCTACTCTGTGTATTCGTGTATATATATATATACATGGCATCAACTGAAGTGACCCTAACTTCAGGGACAAATAGATAAACCATAAGTTCAATTTGAACGGTTTTTTCAACCCTTTTTTGTATTTTATTTTGAGACAGAGTCCTTCTGAGACCTCCTGCCTCAGCCTCCTGAGCCACTGGGATTATAGGCATGTGCCACCATGCCAACTCAGTGTTTGTTGTTGTTGTTGTAGATGGACACAGTATCTTCATTTTATTTATTTATTTTTGTATGTGGTGCTGAGGATCAAACCCAGCGTCTTACGCATGTGAGGCGAGTGCTCAGCCACTGAGCCCCAGCCTCAGCCCCAACTCAGTGTTTTTATACAACCTTTCAGAATAAGGGCAACATGCTGAAGACCCGAACCAGTGGCACATCAAGGAGGGAGACAAGCTGGGCAGGTGGCACACACCTGCAGTCCCAGCAACAGGAGGCCGAGGCAAGAAGATTGCTTGAGCCTTGGAGGTAGAGGCCAGCCTTGTCAACTTGCAAGACTGACACTCAAAAAAAAAAAAAAAAAAAAAGGGAAGCGGGCCTTGCAAACCATAAGGGTGCAGGCTCCAGAGCGGGTGGTTTTTGGTAGCTGTAGATGGACAGACGGCATGCCTGTTTGTTTACTTTTATGTGGTGCTGAGGATCGAACCCARTGCGTCACAGGTGCGAGGCAAGCGCTCTGCCACTGAGCCACAGCCCCAGCTCCCTCCAGAGAGTTTTATAACAACAATAAACCATAATAAAAGTCAGTTTTATTGAAATAACTGATAAGATGGCATTTGTTAAAATCAAAAATTTCTGCTCTGTGAAAGACCCGTCATAACAATGAAAAGACAAGTCAGAGACCGGGAGAAAGTGTTTGCAAAAGACCTATTTGATAAAGGACCGTTATGTAAAATATATGAAGAWCCCTTAGAGCTCCGGCAGAGCGCTGGCCTCGCATGCCCGACTGCACCCAAAACCAAACAGGAACAGCTCAACGAAGGAAAACCCCATTAATAGGAGGAATTTCCTGGGTTGGATCCTGAGCACCTGCCCCCTGTATCATCGTGGGTAAGTCACAGCATCTCTCTGGGCCTCCTTTTTCCCACCTGCAAAGTGGGGGYGTAAGAGTACAGCTGTGTGTGGCTCAGCTAACAGTACAGCTGTGTGTCACTCCTCAGGTGACCCGCCCTTCACAGCCCTGTAGGTGTGCTCAGTCCCTCCACGCCTCGGGCAGGAGGCCATGCTGTTTTACAGCTTTACAGCACATCTTTTCTTTGTAAGTAGAATACACTCCAAAATGATAATAATAAATGCAAATACTTAAGAAAACTTCAAACAACTGAGCAGCTTTGGTCACATTCCCAAGTAGGCAGCTCCATCAGCAACTTCCAAGGCCACCCAAGGGCAAGTCCTTCACTTGAGAAGCGTCCTGCAGACCTGGCTCTGACCTGGAGGGCGCTGTGTCCCATGGGGATCCACAGGGAAAACTGGGGTCAGTACCATCCTTCGAGGATGATCTTAGGATCTCAGATCCCAGAACAGAGCTTGGGTATCTTTATTCTCAGACCCTTTTAAAAACTGGAGAAGGAACCTTGGTCTGTGCTCTGGTCTTGACCTTTTTTGTCTTTTGTGGTGCCAAAGATCCAGTCAGGGCCTCGGGCATGCTAGACCAGGGCTCCACCTCTGAGCTGCCCCTCCAGCGCTGGTCTTGACTCTTGAGCTAATTAGATCCTGCAACCTCCCCCAGCCTYCCTGTGCTCCTTATCTGAGATGTGGCCGGTGAGACGTCTCCCTCTCAAGTTCTGTTTATAAACGGGCCGCTCCCTAACATGCATGGACTGGAGGTGAGCGAGTGGATGTTTCTAAAGACTTTTTTTTTTTTTTTTACAATGAAATATAAAAATTTTTTAATATTTCTGGAAATAGGGCCAAGGATCAACCCTGACCCTGGTGGTCACAATGCTGTGTCACAGTGGGAGAGATGACTCAGGCTGCGCTGTCCCACATTGAGGCTCCTGGCATGGATCTGAGCTATGCCAGAGATGCACGGAGTCAGTGTGGGCTGGACTTGGCACACTGCCTTGTCCCAAGGCAAAAGCAGCAGACGGGAAAGGCCTTTGTGTTAGTTTATGACCAGAGTTCAAGAACACTAGGTCAGGACCTCGCCGTGACTGACACTTTGGCCGCGCTGTTTCAGCGTCTGGATCTTCTTTTGGCAAAAATGCCAGGGAGAGAATTAGTTTTGGTTTTGGGTGAGAAAATACCTCCAAGGCAAAAGAGCGGCAAGAGCCGAGTGAGTCCCAGACCTATGACGGCACGAGCTGCTCTTTCCATGTGCCCTGGGAGTCCCAGCCACTGTGACCCTGCCGAGACCCCAAACACTTTGCCAATGTCTGGTCTTCTCTTTATGACCAGAATAGAAAATGAAAATTATCATAGTGGTTCTGCCCTCATCTCATGATAAATGTTTTACTTAAAAGGCCCATGTGTAAAAACTGATGATGGGTAGCTGGGTGTGGTGGCACACACCTGTAATCCCAGTGACGCAGGAGGCTGAGGCAGGAGGATCACAAGTTTGAGGCCAGCCTTAGCAACTTAGCAAGATCCTGTCTCAAAATAAAATAMAAAGGGCTGGGGATGTGGCTCCGTGGTAATGCGCCCCTGGGTGCTATTTCCAGTACCAAACAACAACAAAACACTCATGGAGGGGTCTATGAATTTGGGGGAATTAAAAATCCTCCTTCTCTTACCTGCCCAAATTATTCACCAGGGGGCCAACCAGGAGGGACCCGATAAAGCCTCCGAAGGGGAACATGGACACTGTCACAGACCACAGCAAGGTCAAAGCGAAGGTGTCAATGAGCTCTCCAGTTCTGTCACTGTAGGTGTCGTTGTAAAACTGCTTCATGAACTGGAAACGAGAGCACAGAACAGCAGTGGTGGCCCCGGCCGTCACACCACCCGACGGGACACCCCGCACGCAGCCYGCAGCATCACCAGGTGGGGCCAGGGGGCCGGGACAAAGCCCCAGGAGCAGCCAGGTCCCCTGGGGCCCTCCCGGGAAACCCTCCAGCGTGTGAACTGCCCAGGGCAGCTCCGGGCTTTCCCTGGGAGCAGCTGCTGCCCACGCCAGGCCCCTCCACTCACTCCAGGCCACCCAAGATCAGAGCCCAGCGGGGCCCAGCCCACCATGTCCCATAGCCAGCTCCCCGACCCGTGCCAGCCTGCTCCCCGAGGGCCCTCCCCTCTCCCTTCCTCAAGGACCCCCTGTGTGTTCCCGGGGGCCACSGGAGCTTCCAAAGCCCCTGCCTGTTCATTCAGACGTGTGTCTCCCTCACCCCTGACCTCACCTCTGACGGGGAGTTGACCACGGCCACGTTGTACCCATATTGGAAGGAGGAGCCGAAGGAGGCGATCAGGGTGGCCAGGGCAAGCAGGAGGGTGAGCCTCTGCCAGAGAGAGATGGGGGGTCAGGGAGCAGCAGGGGCCGCGGGACCTCCCGCCTCACCGGCCTCCAGAGACSGGCCGCCAGGCCTCTGGGCTACTCCATGTCCTCAAAGCTGCTGCCTGCGCCGCTGGCCGAGGGTGAGGACTGGCTTTCTCCATGGTGACAACTGGGACCTGCAGGGTCYGATGGCTCTTTGTTACAGGGGACTGTCCTGGGCACCGTGGATCTCTCCAGCCTCCCTGTTTTCTGCTCCTCAGATGCCAGTTGCACCCTTTTTCTAGGTGTGAGGGCCCTGGGCTGGGGGAGCGCCCCCGGAGAGGCCCCAGGTCAGAGAGAAACAGACCAACCCTCACCGACCCCTGGGATCGCTCCTGTGACACTCCTGACAGTGAACATGCTCAGGCCCTAAGGCGCAGGCTCCTGACCAGAGAGAAAAACGTGAGCATTTTATCTGGTACCACTGACCCCCGAGTCCCTGGGTGAACTTARCAAGGGGGTGCCACAGTGAGACGCTGCTTGTACATTTCTGGGGACTCTTCAACACAGTGCTCTGGGAAAATAGCCCCCTTCGACCCAGGAAGAAACTCAAAGCTCCTTTCAGACCATCGTGAATGACAGGAGGGGACACTTTTTTCCTCGCCGGGTGGGCATGGAACCCTGGGCCTCACGCATGCCAGGCCCTCTGAGGTGCATCCCGGCCCGGGAACACATTTCTGGAGGAATGAAACAGGGAGACAGACAGATGTGGGAAGAGCTTTGCTCTGGGAACCTACAGGAGTCATTCTGAGTTTTCTCAGGGTTGCTTTCTAGCTTAATCCCCACGCTCCTCCTGTCTCCTCTCTGCAGCAAGGACCACGACGCTCCCCCATGGTGTCCCTGCCAAGGCTCAGAGCGCACCCGCGGCTGGGTGAGCCCGGGCTGTCTGTCTGAATCTCCCGGAGATGTCCCCCGTCGCAGGGGACTGTGTTCATGCTTGACCTCTGCGACCGCCCCTCTCCCGGGGCCAGCCCAGGTCTTTGCTGGGCAGTCCCCTGCTGTACCTGAAGGGGAGAGGGGAGCGGGGAGGCCGACCTGAGAGAAGAGAGCCTGCGAGGTGGTGCTCAGAGAGGAAGGGGTTCACCTGGCCTGCAGGGAAGGGCCCCTGGTCAAGAGCAAAACCACTCCATGCCTACACGGGGAGCTGCGTGGAGGCCGCGGACAGGCCATCAGCTGGCGGTAGTGACCGTACAGAATGCACCCATGTGTCAAAACCTCAAGCTGACCCCGCACACACTGACCATGCCAACAAACCTCAAGAGAGCTGTTAAAGAAACAGAAGAGCCGTGAACTTAACCCTTCTCAGGTGGCCGACACACGCTTCTCCTTCCACCAAGGGAATTAACACATGGCCGATTGATTAACTATTCATTAACCCACCAATGAACTAGCAAATGGCTGACCCCCAGGACGCTTCTGGTAAGGAAGATAAGAGCTTCCCCAGAGGCAGCTGTCAAAGTGCACCCAGAGGCGAGGGCAGGGGACAGCGCCCAGGCTTCAGGGCTCCCCACCGTCCACACACGCAGGGCTCCCAGACCGGCTCACTCCCAGCGGGCTGCGTCTGGACCCTTAGTCACTCTCGCTGGACATTCACTGGACATGTTGAGCCGGGCATGTCCTAGTGCTGGGATACCGTGGTGAAGAAAGCAAACAAAGACTCCTGCCCACAGCTCTTCTATTTTGTTTGAGAGGGATGAGGGAGAAAAGGAAGAAACCATTGGCTTATCAGTTCTCTTCCCTCTTCCCAGTAAGAGGATTAACTATAAAAGCAGCAGAGTCGTTCGCGCAGGCAGGTGGCACCCTCCACCTGAGGGCCTGAGGTCTGAAGTCCTCTGGGTCATGGATGGGAGTGTGGTTGGTATGGTGATGACCAAGCACAGCTCAGCTGGGGGCCGGCTGGTCCCCAGGGGCTCACACCCCAGAATGGGGGATTCTGCCAGGCGCCATAGATGGCCAGCTCCCGGCGGCGTTGAAGGGATCCCAGCAAAGAAGACCAGAGACCTTAGGCCACAGCCTTTATGGGCAGAGCACACCATGCGACCTTTAGTCTTTGGCTTCCTCCTTGAGTTCAAGCCACAGGCACATTATACAGACCCTGCAGGAATGGAGACTCACCCTGTGGAATGCCAGGCACTCTGGGGGTCTCACTGTGCGGGCCCAACCACCTTTCTTTGCCCTGGAGAGCAAAACGGCTGCCCTCAAGATCACTGTTCACACCTGGCATGTGATACATGCCTGTAATCCCAGGGACCTGCGAGGCTGAGGCAGGAGGATGGCGGGTTCAGGGCCAGCCTCAGCAACTTAGTAAGGCCCTAAGCAACTTAGAGAGATCCTGTCAAAATAAAAAATAAAAAGGGCCAGGGATGTGGCTCAGTGGTAAAGCACCCTGGGTTCAATCTCCAATACCACCGCCCCACCTCCTCCCCCAAATTGTTCAATGGGAAAGACAGACATCAAAAAAAAAAAAAAACCAATAATAATAAACTATAATAAACTATAAATGCAGTAAGTATCAAGAGGAAAAATCACGGTAGTGACTAAAAAGAGGGTCTAGAGAAGGGGCGCTTGGGGCTGGGGCTGGGATGGGTGGGGGCCAGGGCCATGGCTTAGGCCTTCACTGCTCTACACAGGAGGGGCACAAAGACACGGACTTCTAGGGGACACTCCAGCTGCTGGTGCAGAGCAGAAGTGGGAGGCAGACAGAGGGCTACCTCTGACAGAGGGCTGCAGCTCTGAGGGCCGTGGGGAGTCAGATCAAAAGCCTGGGGATGCCATCAGGAAATTCAAAGGTGGGCGGGTCCTCCCACATTCAATGACCACGCGACCCAGCAATGGCCCTCCTGGGAGGCAACTCAAGAGAAGCCGCAGGGTCCACACCAACATTCCAACGCAGCCTTCATAGCAGCACTGCCACTGCCCAGTGGAAACGAGCCGAGGGCCAGTGACGGACAGATGGACCAACATGGTGTGCACACTCCCCGGGATGTGACTCAGCCCTGCAGAAAGGGAGTACTGACGCTCGTACAAGGAGGCACAAGGAGCCAGTCACAACCATCACCTGATTCTGATTCTAAATCTGAGAGACAGAAAGTAGAAGAGTGGCTGCCGGGGGACCAGCAAGCTGGGGCCCCCAGGGATGTCTCAGGGGTGACGGGAGCGTCCGAGAATCGATTGTGGCGACGGTCGCGTAACTCTGAGTATACACTGAGTTCATATTGAATTCTTTTCCAGCTTTACTGAGCAAAGAATAACAAATAAAGGTTGTATGTACAGACAGCCCTTGACCTGCAGCGTCAGCTTCACGTGAAAGCTACAGAAATCCAGTAGGAACTTAGGATATTTCCAACTTATCAGCACATGAGCTCCTCCGGGGGCCAAGCGGCATCTCCTTCAAGCTGCGCTGCGTGGCRTTCCGACACAGTGCACGTGGAGGGACGCCACAATCAGGCTCCACACATGGCCTCACGTGGCCGTGGCCGGTATGTGCATGGTGAGGACCRTCAAGGTCCACTCTTTTACCGAATCTCAAGTTTACAGGGAAGCATTATCAGCTACAGCTCCCCCGCCCGCCGTCACCACATCCCTGGAGAACTCAATCTCTGTACCCCTGACGACTTCACCCATGACTCTCTCCCCAGCTCCTGGCAACCACCGTTCTATTCCACTTCTGTGAGTTTGGCTTTTTCACATGGGTGACACCACAGGGGACGTGTTTTTCAGCACCAGGCTTATTCCATTTAGCAAAGTGTCCCTTGGCTCCAGGCCGGTGGCAAAATCACAGGATTCTCTCTCTCTCTCTCTCTCTCTCTCTCTCTCTCTCTCTCTCTCTCTCTCTCTTTCTTTCATACTGAGGAYTGAACCCAGAAGCTTTTACCACTGAGCTACACCCTCAGTCCTTCTGAGACAAGGTCTTGCTAAGTTGCTTAGGGCCTCAATAAGTTGCTGAGGCTGGCCTTGAACTTGCAATCCTCCTGCCTCAGACTTTGCTGGGATTACAGTTGCATSCTACTGTGCCCCACTAGGATTCCCCCTTTTTAAGGGTGAAAGATGTACACTTTAAATGGCTGAAATTATATGGCATGTGCGTCAGTCTCAATGAAGGTAGTGTATTTTAAAAGTTTATAGAAGAGGGCGTAAGCACTCTTTTGCTTGAGCTCTCCCTCCCTCCTTCTCTCTCTCTCTCTCTCTCACTTTTTCCTTTCTTTCCAGGAGTGGGCAGGGGAGGGGGAGATCTGGTGCTGAGCTGCATTAGGACATGAGGAAGATGAAGAGTCAGAGATGACACTGGTGGCCTCCAGACACAGGAWGGGGGCTCTTCTTGCCACACTTCTGGGGAGGAACCTTGCCCTGGTTTCCATGATGAGGASACCACCTTCAGGTTTCAGTGAAACAACCAGCTTCAGGCTGACCTCCCCCAGGGTGACTCTCAGGACACTGGGCAGGGTGCCCTGGCCAAACAGCCTCCCAGCCACACCCGGTCTGCCTAAGTGGGTGGGCTGATGAACTAATGGGTCAATGCACATAAACAACGAGAACCCCTAGCATACAGAGGGGAAGTCACTTGCTCAGGATACTACACTAGTTGGTGGTGCGGAAACTCCATGAAATAAATACTTTCATCGTCCCGAAGTACTTTTGTGGGGGGATTTCATTCAACAAKTCTTGATTAGTTGTAAAATGCTTTGCTGTCTTTTTTTCTAAACCATTCCATTATTTTCTTTCAGGTTATTCCTTTCCTGGAAGAAAGTTCCTGCACACTGGACAGATACTGGTCTTTTTCCTTTCTGTATGGGAAAAGCGAAGGCCAGCGAGGTTATGGTCACAAGGCCACAGAGAGTCACAGAGGGCCACAGAGAGCCACAGAGAGCCACAGAGGGCCACAGCCAGCCACAGAGAGCCACAGAGGGTCACAGAGAGTCACAGAGAGTCTCAGTGAGCCACAGAGGGCCACAGAGAGCCACAGAGGGCCACAGCCAGCCACAAAGAGCCACAGAAGGCCACAGAAAGTCACAGAGAGTCACAGTGAGCCACAGCGAGCTGCAGAGGACCACAGAGGGCCACAGAGGGTCATAGAGAGCCATAGAGGGCCACAGAGGGCCATAGAGGGCCACAGAGAGTCACAGAGGGCCACAGAGAGTCACAGAGGGCCACAGAGAGCCACAGAGGGCCACAGCCAGCCACAGAGAGCCACAGAGGGTCACAGAGAGTCTCAGTGAGCCACAGAGGGCCACAGAGAGCCACAGCCAGCCACAGAGAGCCACAGAAGAGGGCCACAGAGAGTCACAGTGAGCCACAGCGAGCTGCAGAGGACCACAGAGGGCCTCAGAGGGTCATAGAGAGTCATAGAGAGCCATAGAGGGCCACAGAGGGCCATAGAGGGCCACAGAGAGTCACAGAGGGCCACAGAGAGTCACAGAGGGCCACAGAGCCGGGCCTGATGCACTGCCTGGCACCTTCTGCTCAGACCATGCAGCCTCCTTGCACTGCTCCTAAGTCCTCCCCTGTGCCTGGCCCAGAGGAGACTTCTCCCCCAGAGGACAAGAGGCCATGACTGGTCATGCCCTTTGCATGTGGCCATTGGAATCGTTTCCTTTGACAAAGTGTTGCTCATTTTCAGGGTGCGCCACRGGGAGGTGCGGTTCCATCCCTTGCATTTCTCTTTGACTGGCAGACAGCAAACCAGGCCCTCCTCTGGCCATGCCCTCTTTACCTCCGTTCCTGTTCCAGCCAATAGAGGCCAYGACACTCGATTTGCCCAACACTTTCTAAGCTGTGAAATCCAAACAAGAAAACCTCCGTGCGGGCAAGTGGGCATGCGGGCGTGCAGTAAAGCTGTGATCGGCAGCTGGGGGGCAGGGATTGCTTCTGTCTCTAGAGGACATTTGCTTGTCCCACCTGGGAGAAGGTGCTACTGGCATCTGGTGAGTCAGGGAGAGGGATGCTTCTAAACACCCTACAATTCTGTGTYAGCAACACAGAATTATCGAGTACCCAATGTCAACAGAGCTGAGATTAACCCCGCTCTAAAGGATCACGGAAGTAAAAACCTTATAGGAGAATTCACTGTGCCAGGGGCTTGATGTGCATTATTCCATTTAATTACTCCAGGACCCATGACAGGGAGTGCCTGTTATTCCTCTTCATTTATTTAGGCACTAGGGATGGAACCCAGGGGTGCTTTACCACTGAGCCACATCATTTTTTTTTTTTTTGAGGCAGAGTCTCTCCAAGTTGCTGAGGCTGGCCTTGCACTTGAGATCCTCCTGCTGTGGCTGGGGTTACAGGTGTACACCACGGTCCAGGCTATGATTGCCATTTTATAGATGAGAAAACTAAGGCAGAGAAGAGTCAACTAACTTGCCAAGTCCTGTGGGGGTAACAGGATGGAGCAGGAAAGAGTAACAGGTGCTTCCATCTCCCAGAACCACTCTTACTCCACAGGCTCCAACCGGCCTGTGACGAGCATGTCTCCATCCCCGCCAGAATAACAACGTTCTGCACAAATGCACACTACTCTTCCCCTCTCCACCACAAGTAAATGTCATTGTGATCAATAAGATGCAGATTCCTGGAAAGTGTCTGAAGTCATGTTATCTTTCCCTCCTTAGGCACTGCCTCAATCAAGGGAATCTACAAGTAAGTGGCTGTAATATGATTAGTGGAGGGCCACAAAGACTCCACCTCTAAAAACAAACAAACAAAAAAATCAAGCAATACCTTTTTGGCGTTTATCTTCTTTGCATGCAGGTTAGCTATGTTACTTGCTGAAAAGACTAAAATTCTCTGAAACCAAACTCAAAACAAAATTTTGACCAAAGCTCACCGGCGGCACCTAAGGATTTTGTAACCGACACATTTGATYGTGAAGTCTCCTCATCTCACATTCTTACCATGAAGAAGAAACGGGCAAATGAACCCTTTCAGACTCTTCAGTTTGGAATGTAGTCTGGATACTTTTTAAACAGCTGTTCCAGTAGAATGCTCAGCAGAAAGGGTATTTGTAAACCTCACCTCTACTCCCTGTAAGAGTCCAGCAGCTGGGTGGGCGGAGGGGCAAGTACCCCCACGGGGTCTCAGAGTTGGCTCCAGGATACTAGGGACCCCCATGACTGCCCAGGGCTGCTGGGCAGGCCCTGCAGCAGGCCCCGGCCCTGGCCCCCTCCAACACACTTACCCCTTCCTTCCTCTCTTCATTGGAACTCTCCATCTCTGCGCTGCAGGGACAACGTGCTGCTTGCCTCCTCCAAGTGACAAACACACTGGATGGAGAGAGAGGACACTCCGGATGCACTTTGGCCGTGGCAACTACCAGCCAATTGCATTTTTACAGCCAGTCTAAGTCCGAATAACCCTTTCAGAGGCCTGCCTGCCTGCCTTTCACTTCCGCTTTTCAGTTACACGTCTGGGGTTTGGCTGAGCCAGTGGGTGCCCTGGGGTTGCAGGCTCAGCGCTGTCCTGATGGGGACAGTCTGTGGCGCTTCCCCACAGCGGAAGTCTCCACCAGTCAGGCTTGAGGTGAGTGACTGGAAGGGTTATTTCTGTCAGGAACACAAGGAAAGCAACATTGTCACACTTATACCACACCAGGCAATAAATAGGGGGGCCACAGATGGGGTCCCTGGACGCTTCTAGAAGCAGTTCCAGCCGGGAGCCTGCAACCAAGTCCTACTAGTCAGTAGCCAGATTATTTTTGCTCAAATAGTCATACAACTTTTCTTTTTTTTTTTTTTTTTTTATGCTGAGATGGAAGCTGGGGCTTCATGCTTGCTAAGCCTGTGCTCTACCACGCAGCCACACCCCCAGCGTCATGTTACTCTTTTGGGGGACAGTTCCGTATTCTCCTTTGTAAGACCCTATGAGTGGCCTAGAGATGTTCTTTTCTGTGCATTCATCGGGGTTGGGAAGGCACTAAAGAACTGCTCCTCTATCCTGGCCTCTGGGCTGGGAAAGTAAGTCACCCTGCTGGGCTGGGTCCATTTGCTGTCCACTCGCAGCCAGGCCACTGCTGGCCCCTGTGCTTAGCACGTGTTCAGCTGCCAAGGGGCATGCTAGACCCAGTGGCCAAAATCCAGAGCAAAGTTCCCACCAAGCCCGCGGGTTTTCTTCGGTGCAGGACTCGCTCTTGGTTTTATTTGCTGTGGCACAAATCCAATTAATCTGGTCATTCTCCTCCTTCACCTGTCAACCTTGGAGGCTGTTCTACTACCCCTCAGCATATCAAGGACAAAGTAGAAGGCTGTTCTTCTATCTCAGCACATTGAGGACAAATCTGATAATGGACAACAATCATCCTCTGAAAGGTCATGGGAATTTTAGGCACCACATTGATTATATCAACTAGAACCCAAGCCCGTATTTCCAGTCTCTTAGAAAACCTAATCATTATGCTTATTTTACAAAGTTCACCCCATGTGGTCTCATTTTTGATTAAGGAAAGGTATATTATACACTTAGGAAAGTTAAAACATATAAAGATATATTCTTCTCTTTTTATAAACCCTTTTTACTTTACATAGGAATTTATGATGAGCATAGTTAATATTGGCGGAAAGTGGACTGATGTTTAGAACTTACTTTCTATTGATAAAGATTATAAAGATATGAGAACTAGTGCACCTTGTCTGAGAAACAAAGAAACTCTTTGAGAAAGCAGCTCAACCAGTTTTATGAGAATAAATTTAGTAATTAATTAAAGTAGCTTTATAAGAAGTATTTTTAGAATAATGTTAGAAATATTATCCTATTTAGATGTTTGGTTTAGAAATGCTTAAGTTCTTAGTTGTATKGGTTTCTGATATGTTTTAAGAATGATTTATAAACTTTAGGATATTTTAAGTATAAGATTTAAGGGGACTTTTTTAGATGGGAATTTTAGATTACAAATAAAGTAAAGGTGTACTTTAAACTTAAAGGTTAATGATAGGTTAGAAGACTTAGAGTCTAGTTACCTGGTTTGACATTAGTTAATAAGAAAATAGCATATCTTGGGGAAAATGGTAAATCTTGGGAAAATCTGAAAAATGTAAATTAGTGATGCATTTTATTAATGATTCTGCACTTTTAATAATTAAGTAACTAAAGGTCATATMCTGGAAAAAWKKWAAWTWAWKKTWMMWTTKTTTTGTACCCCCAATCATGGTTAAGSAAATGTCATGTCTTGGCAAAGTTTTAAATTGTATAATCAATGACGTATTCTGAATTTCTAATGATGAGAAAAATTGCAATAAAAGATGACCCAGAGAAAGCTGCATTAGCTCTCTCTCTGGAGATTGCTCCAACCGAACGATCCTGTCTCATCCTTCAGGACTCCCTGGACCCCGCTAGGGCAGGACCCGGCACTCCCCTTACTATTTTTCTTGGGTCCCAGCCCTGACACAGTGGTTTCCCACTAGTGCAGATTCTTTCAAAGTTTGGGAAACTTTCCAAAGGAAATGCACTTTAATGGGGTGGGGGTTGGCTCCTGGCGAGTGAGGGGAAGGGGACCAGGTTGTGCAATGGAACGGAAAGCAGTGGCGACCTTTGCAGCCCCCAGCCATGTCACGCCCGGAGGAGGCGAGGGGCCAGCGTCCTGACCCACACATTCCGCTTCTCCCGGGCGTCCTCCGGCCAGTGCCCAGGGAGGGAGCCACGGGGGCCCAGAGGGGATCAGTCAACCTGTACCTGGTTCCTGCCTTTCCGTGGGGCCGCAGGCTCAGCTCGGGGTCACCAACGCTCGCCCTGGCCGGCGGGACCTGGCGCGCGGCTGGGCGCGGGCGGGCGGCGCTGTCCCACTGGGGCCCACCGGCTCCGGCAGCGCCTTCCCGGCCCTGGTCCTCCGCGGCCTTGACCGGAGGCCTCCTTCGGGCCCATAACCTTGGTTAGTTTTGTGGGGAGCAGTTGCCAGGCCGCTTGCCCAGCCGCCCTTAGGGTGCTCCTGGAGGCCAAACGGCCGCTGGACCCGAGGGCAGAGGATGCCCCTGCCCAGGTCCTCTGTAAGCCCTGCTGGGGTCCTCGTTGCCTCTAGGACCCCGGGCTCCTCCTCTCAGGCCGCCGTTTGGCCAGAAAAGGCCTTCAGACTCCAAGGGCTCAAAAGCGGGCCRTGGCCCCTCTGAGGGCACAGTGCTGTGGTCCTAAAGGCCTCCGTGTGGCCTGGGCTCGCCCACGGCGGGTGGACCTTGTTGGTTTTCAGAATTTCCGTTACCGCAGGAGTAGGTGGCAACCCCGGATCTCCGCGTGCAGAGCCGGGACCCCTGCCCCTGTCGCCGCTGGGCCTGGACCGAGAAGGGAACTACTCATGGAAGCCTCTGCGCTTTGGAGTTGAAACCGCAGTCACAAAAACCCCCACGACCCACGGACCTCTTGACCAATGGCAGGGAGCAGAGGATTTCCAGGAAGCCGACTGTGCGCTGAAGGCTCCTCTGATAGAACTGGTCAAGCAGCTGCAGGTGTCCCTGGGAGCTGGGCCTCGGAGGGCACCTCTGACCTTCTCCTAACCTTAGGACAGAGGTTAAAGAAGACCCAGAGCGAGTCAGCGGTTCTCTAGCCCAGCCTCGCCCGGGCCCTGTCTGGCTTCTCACATTAGGTTGCTTTTCTTTTTTCTTTCTTTTTGGTGCTGGGGGTGCTGGGGTCTTTTGACCGGGGACAGTGTTTACCAAGAGTCCTGGTAAAACTCATTTCTGAAATCATCATTACAAACACAAAATGTGAACGCTGATGTTTCTGCACCCTTCTAGGAAATTCAGMACCTGAAAACTGATTATTATGGAATGTAAGATTTTGGAGATTTCGTCTTAGCGTTTATTTATGTTTTTATTTTCTGAGCCTATTGCTGTACTAGAGGGGGAAAGTAATAGGGTGCAAAATAGCCTTGGTCTCTTGGGGCTCAGATCACAGTGGGGGAAACGGCTCACATAAGCACATGGATCAGCTTATAGCTAGGAACGGCCCCTAGGGTGTGTGTGGTGCAGCTGGGCTGGGAGCCTTCCTTGACATGTGGGCTGGAGCTGGGWTGAAAGAGCTCACAGAGAAAGCCTTGCAGGCAGGGAACAGCAGGTACCAAGGCCCTGTAGGACAGAGATCAGTGCCACCAAGAAATCACAAGCTCATGCTGGGAGCCATGGCATAGGAGGCTGAGGCAGGAGGATTGCAAGTACAAAGCCAGCCTCAACAACTTAGTTAATCCCTAAGCAACCTGGAGAGACCCTGTCTCAAAATACAAAAAAAAAAAAAAAAAGGATGGGGATATGGCTCAGTGGTTAAGCACCCCTGGGTTCAATGCCTGGAACCAAAAATTTAAAAAAAAAAAAAAAAAAAAAGCGAAAAAGAAATCACAAGGTCAGGGCAGCCAAAGACACAATGCAGGGCAGAAGAGTGGTGGAGAGGGGGCTGGGAAGTGGTGGAAGAGGGGTAGGTCAGACTATCATTAGCACTTACAGCCTTGTTAAGGAGCTTGCTTTTGGTCCTAGGACCTGAGGGAAGGCATTCAAAATTTGGGAGAAGCCAGATGTAGTGGCCACATGCCTGGAATCTCAGCAACTGGGGAGGCTGATGCAGGAAGATTGCAAATTAGAGGACAACCTCATGCAACCCAACAAGATCCTATCTCTAAATAAGTAAATGAATAAATAAAGGGCTGGGGGTATAGCTCAGTGGTAGAGTGCTCCTGGGTTTAATTCCCATTATTTCATAAATAAATAAAAGTTTGGGAGAGGATGGGGGTATAGCTCAGTGGAAGAGGTAGGTCACATGTATGAAGCCCTCAATTTGATCCCCAAATCTGTAAAATTAAAAAGAAGCTGCCAAGTGCAGTAGCACACGCCCATGATCCCAGCGGCTCCGGAGGCTGAGTCAGGAGGCTGAGAGTTCAAAGGCAGCCTCAGCAATGGTGAGGCGCTAAGCAACTCAGACCCTGTCTCTAAACAAAATACACAGAGGGCTGGGGATGAGGCTCAGTGGTTGAGTGCCCCTGAGTTCAATCCCTAGTAACTCCTGTTCCACGCCCCCCCCCAACAAAAAAAAAAAAAGAAAGGAAAAAAACCAAGCTAGGCGAGTGGCACACACCTGTAATCCCAGTGACTTGGAGACTGAGGCAGGAGGATTGCCGTTCAGCGAGGCCCTAAGCAACTGAATACCTCACCATTAAAAGTAAAAAGGGATAGGGACATAGCTCAGTGGTAAAGTACCCCTGGTTCAATCCCGAATCTCTCTCTCTCTCTCTCTCTCTCTCTC